AACACCGGGCACCCCGCCACCACCGGTGCCGATCCCGGGAAAGCTCTGTCGAGAGCAGGAACTGCCACCTCCTCCGTCCCGCCCTGCAGCGACGCCGGGAGGGGGCTGGGCCCCCAGCCCCTCTCCAACTCGCCTTATTGCTATAGTCAGAGCAGCAGAGCGGCCAGGAGGAATTCAGGAGTTCGCTGCTTTAGGAGAGGGGACAAGGACATGTCCAAAGCCAAGGATACGCCATCAGGAGGGTGGGCTCTCATCTTGGAACTGCCACCTCCTCCGTCCCGCCCTGCAGCGACGCCGGGAGGGGGCTGGGCCCCCAGCCCCTCTCCAACTCGCCTTATTGCTATAGTCAGAGCAGCAGAGCGGCCAGGAGGAATTCAGGAGTTCGCTGCTTTAGGAGAGGGGACAAGGACATGTCCAAAGCCAAGGATACGCCATCAGGAGGGTGGGCTCTCATCTTTCTGGGGAAGGGGGAAGGAGGGAGCTGCCATCTCTTGCCAGCCCGGCCAGTGGTGCCAGCAGCGCCGGGGCTGACACCGGGAGGGAGGAGAGTTGTGCTCGTGTCCAGGAGGAAATGAATGCACTGTCTGCCCCAGGCCCTCCTGCCCTCTCCTGAGCCTGGAGCCGAGGCCGTACAAACTCATTGCACCTTCAGCAGCAGGGACTGGGGAGGGACACTGGGAGAACCGGAGAAACAGGCAGAAACCCCCTGCCCGTGCCCCCACCCCGCGGCTAGTTGCGTTGGCTGGCCAGCTCCTGGGAGATGAATTTCCGAAGGCGCTCGAGGTACTGGCTGTAGAGTTCAATGTCATTGTGCCCGGCCCCGTCCACCCACAGCGGCTCCACAGCCTTGGGGCAGCGTTCAAAGAGCGCCAGGCCATGGGAGAAGTCGATGACTTCATCCTCCGTGCCGTGGATGATGAGGACGGGAGAGGTGATTTTGGAGATCTTCTCAATGCTGCCAAGAAGGTGGGTGGGGAAGAGAGGAGAGGCGGGGGGTAAGTGCAGAGATCAAGGCACTCCCGTTCCTCCTGCCCCCCAAAACACATCCCCTCGGGGAGAGGGACCAGGAAATGCTCTTTGACCACAGCAGAGCACGGGGACATGGAGCTTCTGCCAAGGATGAGCTCCAGGACAAGATCTGCCCGGCGTGACAGACGAGGACCAGACAGCGGTGACAACAGCCCCATGGGACCTAGGCAGGGCTGAGGGAAAGGGCTGCAGGACAGCGTGCGCCCAGGCCCTCCCCGCGCTGGGATCAGCCGTGCCAGGCTTGGAGGAGTGGAAGCACGGCTGTTCTCAGCCCGTCCCCAAAGGCCGCGCGAGGCCATCGGGATGCAGAGCGTGGGCTGGTGGCTCCCAGCCATCGCATCCGGCTTGGGGACTGTCCCTTGGGCCCCGCTGGCCTCGCTGCAAGCGAGAGGTGAAGCAAGAACTTGTCCCACCTCAGCGCTGCCTTTCCATGCTGCTGCCCCTGCCCTCTGCAGAGGGGTGGGTGAAGAAAAAGCCCCCAAAATTACCCTTGGGGGAGAGGGGGGTCCTGGGGACCCTCAGGACTTGTGATACCCGACAATGGGCTAGTGGCACAGCCCCAAAGCTGACAGGCAAAGACGCTGGGACAGGATGGCCAGGAGGCGATGCCACCGGGGGACGTGGGGTGCACACACGGCCCTCAGGAGGGGGCACGGTGACCCCAAGGAGGGTTATGATCCCCCGCAGGGGACCAAAAGCAAGGCGGGAGGATCACGATGGGCGTGTTTAAGCCTATCGTGGGAAACAGGTCCACAATTCTCACCACAACCCCTCTGCGTGGCCGGGGCTGGCGCCCAGGACAGAGCTGGCCTGGGCACCACCCCTCCAGCGCTGACCCTGTCCCCCATCCCCTCTCCTCAGGCCACTCACTTGGGGAAGGCATCGAACCAGTAGGTCTTCTTGGTCTCGGGGAAGGCGACTCTCATGCCAGAGGTGAGTGGGGAGTGGAGTACAATGGCAGCACACTCATAGCGGGAGGCCAGATCAACCGTGGGCACCGTGCCGATGCTTTGTCCATATAAAATAATGTTCTCCGGGCTGATTCCATACCTGGGAGAGGAGAGGGGAGCTCAGCACCCAGGCAGCAGAGTCACATCGCCAGGAGATAGAGCTCAGGGGGTCACCCTGCTCTGGCCACAGCCCCCTGCAAGGCTTTCTGGGGTGATGGGGGGAACGGGGCTCTGTGCCCCTGCCTTCCCGCAGCTCCTCACGGCTGGGCCCAAAGCAGCTGCCCTGCAGCCCCGGCAGGACCAGGAAGCAGCCAGGGCTGAGCTGCCGGATGAGTTGTGGGCGGGTGTCAAGGCTCACCCTTGCCAGAAGCAGGGTTATGGGTGGGTTCACGGACCCCGGATCGCAGCCGCATGGGGCAGCCCCCCGT